CAACAACATATTCCACTCTACCATCAAATGCTCACAAAAACACCTCTGACAGACAAGAGATTGCTGAGTTTGGCTATGCTGGTACAATAAAGATCAAACAAGAAAATCAGGTCAATCTATAGATTCCAAATCATCAGAGGTGCAACTATAGGATTTTAGTCAGGAAATCCACAAAAAGAGAGATAAGATTTTCATAATAAAGACCAAATATATAGATCTCATTTAAAAAAAAATAACAAAACCAAAAAAACCCTGTTACTTAGACAAATAAAAATTAAGAGATTTTAAAAAAATCCACTAACTTACCAGAATTACAGGAGATTTGTTGTGGAGGTGGAGGTGCCTGATGTGTTAACGTCTGGTGCTGATGGTTCGGATGGTGCTGTATGTGTTGGTGTGGAGATGGGTGCTGGGGGTGAGGGGCCTGGAGCTGGCTGTGTTGCTGTGGATGCGGTGCTGGGTGCTGGGGATGCTGGGGATGCTGTGGTAAGCCATGTGGTCTATGGGTTGGATGGGGAGACGGCTGTGGGTGCATCTGTGGGTGGGGTAGTGAGACTTGTGTAACTGAATTATTGCCTGTGGGATTTAGGCCACTGCCATGACTATTGGACAGACTGCTTTGGTTGGTGTGTGGGTGAGAGCTCACTGTACTGCTAGGAGAATGCTGATAGGAACACGAAGTGTGGGACTGCTGGGAAGATTCAGAAGGGATATTCATCAAACCTAAAAGAGAGCAAGATCATCTGTGGTCAGATTTTATTTGCATCTTATGACAAACAAGAGCAAAATAACATACAGAGCAAAGATAAACGTCATCGAGCCAGAATTGATTCACTCATAGCTGAACCCTCCAGCAGGTTTCCAGAAGCAGTAATTGCACCAGAGGAGATAGCTCATTCCCTCCCCTGTGGAGCTCCTGGCAGATTCGAACCACACACATCTTTGTGTTAGCAACATAACTCCTTACCACCAGACCACCAGAGCCTAAGAGATAAAGAGCTTAACAGAAGGGGAAGGCTAAATCAAACTCAATTATTTCTGATTTCTTTCGCTACCAAAAAACTCCACAAAATCCACCAAACAAACAACCCCACTCAAATGTCCAAGTTGGCAGGATTCTAAAAATTAAGTAAAACCAAACAGCATCTTGGTTGTTCCTTTTCATTACTCTTACAGAACATTCTCAAGGCATGTATAGTTTAGGAATTAAAGAGTATAAATTGCTTGTCCATCAACAAACAAATGGACGGAGAAACTGTGGTACATTCACATGATGGAATACTATGCAGCACTGAGGAGCAACAATTTAAAAAAATACTACGTAACATGGGAGAGACTAGAGAGCTTTATGCTGGGTGAAATAACTCAGTTTCTTAAGGACAAATAGTGCATAGGACTATTCTTTTAAAAACAGAAGGATAACTACTAGTAATATGTATACAAATGTCCAAAGAGGGAAGGGGAAGGAGGTACAGGGATTAAGGGTAGGGAGGAGGGAAATCAATGAGTTGTTAAGAGTTTGCTTGGTGAGGGGAAGAGGGGGTGAAGGAATTAGCAAAGATCCAGTGGGGATCTGAAAAGATGAAGTAGTAGTGGGCATAGATTAATGAAGATTAATTTTATAAGACACAATATTTAAAAAAAGAAGTTAATTATATAGAATAAAATATAATGTAAATGAAAGATTATATAAAATACAATTTTTTAAAAAGCATATTAAAAAAGAGTATATACTGCTATACCAGAGAGGATTTAAGTTCCTACACTGTCACTTATATGCAACTGCAAAGTTCCTTAATCTAAGACACAATTATCTCAACTATAAATGGGTATAAAAAGAACCTACTTTACAGAGTTGTTGGGAGGACTAAAATGCCTCACAATTAAGTTCAAGTGCAGGATACAGGATGAGTTCAGTAAAAGTTAGCTGCTACAACGATGATGATGATGATGATGATGAGGCCAGAAATGCTTAATGTTAAAAATAACATTATGTTTCGTTTCCATATAGATGCTCATTTTAATAAATCTTATTGCAACATTTATTTGTATCCAATTAGGTTACTTCCATATTCCAATAAATGGTCCACACACTGTTTTGCAGAACCACAAACAATCTGGGTGGAAAGGGTTGGTTATTAGGGCTCCCACATGACTGTTCCTATAGTCCATCAGTACAAATCAAAGTTTTTTAACAAGTGTAAAATTACTCTAATACTTGTCAAATTGCATTTGAGTGTACTGTAAAATAATCTTAAAGCCTAACAAGTCAATGCTTATAAAAACTGATATACGTTCTTGCCTTGGCCCTGGAAAACTCATTCACAGTTAAACTTTAGAGTTTTTGCAGTAAAATAAGGGGGGGGAAAACAACCCAGTGATTTCTTTCCAATAAAATGAAAGCTTTCTAATAGAAAGCCAAGATCAGATCTATATGAACATTTTAAATATCAAATTATTTTGAACTATAATAAAATCTATTTCATAAACCCATATGTAGAACTAAGAAACAGAAAGTACTTTTAAAGGGTTTGGTTGGGATTTTTAAAAAAATTTTTTTTTTTATTGTTATTCTTTGCTTTCTGAAGGTAGGAAAAGAAGATTGCTAACTCTCTTTCTTCATTCTAATATGTCTCCTCTACCAGTCCTGCAGATCTAAACTAAAGCCAAGAGTTCTGCTGGGGACAATCTGAAAATCAATGATTCTATCCAATTATTTTCATTTTACAAATGGAGATGCTAAGGACCCAAGAAGTGAAGTTACATTAGCTGACTTAATGGTAGAGCCTGTACTTAGAGTCAGAATTAACAGCAATACTCTTTTATATTGTTAAAACAAATTTTTAAAAAGCTTCCACTGAAGCTGATTATGAACAAGTAAAAAGGTCTCACAGGAGAACCACCTCACCTTTTTCAAGAACTACCAACTTTTCAGTGAGCAGTTAAATATTTAATACACTACACCACCAGGGCTCCTGTTTTTATTACAGTTGATGAAATGGCATTATGGCCTTTGGAAATTATTGTCATTGTTAGTCAAAGCTGGTCTTTCCCTGACATGAACATGAAAGTAATTACATTCATACACGTACAATTTTACTTTTCATGCAAACATTAATATTAAAACCACCTAGTGTATCACTAGCTATGACTCATCTATTGCTGTATCATGTATATAATGCTTATATATAAGATTAACTTTCACAAGATCTGACAATGATAAATATTAATATGTAGATTCTGAAAGGATGGGAATGGAGGGTTGGGGGTGGGATTAGAAAGTTGTAGCATGTTTTATGATAAAAAGCTATATAGGTATATTCTCTAAACAGGTATATAAATAATTTGCTAACCAAGTAATTAGGAAATACTTCAACAGTACCATTTCCAACAGTTTCTAATGAGTTTAATGGCAAAAAGACAACGTGATATTTTCGAACCAATCAACATGACTGACTAAATTAGTAAACCAACAGCTAATAGAACAGTAACACATTTATACCTTTCCTATCTGGCACAAATGGAGACAATGTTAGAATCAAAAGAAGGCTTTCAAAACAAACATATCTACCCTTCTTTTGCTGCCTTTGAGTTGATTCTGACTCAAAGCGACTCTCCATCAGGTTTCTGAGGTGGTTAATTTTTATGGAAAGAGATTTCCTATGGTGGATTCAGACTGCTGACTGTTCAGTAAGCAGTCCAAGAATTACTCTACTGTGCCATCAAGGCTCATTACAGAGCATAATAAAGGAGTAAAGGAATAATACTTGAACTTGGTTATGATGATAATATGCTAATATTAAGGAAATATAACAGCTGCTCTGTGAAAATCATTGTTAAAAATAGTTGGTTTTTATTGTTGATTTTTTTCCCCCTCAATAAAAGCTCACCTTGTTGACTAAGTGACTGTTCAAAGACTGATTTATAAAGGCTCCGAAATGAGGCACTGAGATCTTCAAAATTATATTCTGAGAAAAGCAGTTGTTTGTCTCGTTCTGGTAAGTTGTACTGTGGCTGCTGCTGAGGAGTTAATGATTGAGAGACTGGTTCTGGATGGTTGGTCACCTAACATTAAAAGAAAACAACTACTGGTTAAATGGCCCTGTTTCAGAATTGGATTGTTACAGAGAACATTTAAGCAAAATCATTAGTGCCAACACTAGAATTTAAAGGGAAAAATTTCTCTTTGGCTTTGACATTCTCACCTTCTGTTAAGTATACAAAAAGAACAGATCACAATATTGACTTAGAACCTGAGGAACAATAAAAAAAATGAATCCAACTTCCACATGTCAAGAAGGGAGGACAAAGAGTTAAAAGAAATTAAATTACTTACCCACCATCATATAAAAAGTGTTGAGGCAGAAAAAAAAAGTGATGAGCAAGACCTAGAGCCTTCTAATTTCTATATAATTTTTATTTTAGTTACTACACCAAAACAATTTCATCTCAAATTCTATTACATTATGAAATGACTAACAATTCTCATTTATGTATTCAAGTAATCTTAATATTTTAACTCAAATACTGTGTGAATATTGTGCATAAGGTTATCTGGTGGAATTGTCCAACCAAAGCAGCACTGATTTCAATATATCCTTAATTTTTAAGAGAATGAAACAAGAGATGAAATTGAAAGTAAGAAAAAGAAATTTTAAAAAGTCATTCTGAAAAAGTAGAATAAACCAAGACCATGACTTATGCATGTAAAAAAGGCATAGTTAGAACTACTTCTATCTTTGAAAGCAATATGACTAAAACCAAAATTCATAAAAGAGGATTCACTATATTCTTAAAAGATTGTATCTGATTAGTGCTTTGAAATTATTAAGGTTTGAAACATACACACAATGGAAATTTATACAACCCTTCAAAATTATATTTACAGGTAATCGGCAGCAATGTAGAAAAATGTGTATTTTTAATGACATTTTTATTGGTTTGCATAAAATTATTCCTATAAATTGTGTTTCATACAATCCTTTATACTGTATTTTGTTCAATACTGTATATTGTGGAAAATATGCATTTCTATAAGAGAAAGTTCCACATGGCACCTTGGCAACCAGGCTAAACAACATGCTGACAGTAGCCTTGGCAGAATACCTTGTGCTTATTCCAGAGCACGTGCTGACAAGAAGTCTTATGAGGAACCATTTCTCATGTTATTTCTCACTCACCTCCAGATCAGCAGGAGGTGCTCAGGGGGACAGACAGCTTTTTACCCACCTCCTTATATTGTAGGAGGTTGCCTAATGTTCAAAAGGGAAAGACATCTGTCTTCTTAGTCACAGTGAGGCAAGGAATTTTCTCTCTCTTTAAGATGCAGTTGTAGGTTATAAAGCCGCTTATATAAAATACTGAATCTATTCCTTCCACTACAGAGTGACCACCATGCTTAAAGTCTGTCAAATGACCTCATGGTTTGGTATCTTCTTGTGTGAAGCAGGGGGCTAACATTATGCTGCTCTGACTTACACTGCCTGTGTAATAAAATTCTCTCAATCCACTAAGGGTTCACTATGCCCTTTGGGAGAGTGATAAGTACAACCATCAGAGATCACTAAACTGTCATTTAAAAGACTGCTTGACATTGTAAGTGAAAAGAAAACAAAACAACCCACACCAAAAATGCCTACAATATATTCAATTTTAAACAGAGACTAAAACCCTCTCACATCTACTGGGCATAAGAGACATGCTTGTTTGTATTCTGCTATCTAGCTCCAGAAATACTTCTTTCCTTTTACTGTATTTTGTGACACTGACTGAACTCTTGTTTTTGAGTTTCTGGGCTACTCTTTCAGTTAAACTTTGTAACATTTCACATTATTTTAAAAACAGAATCATCAACACTTTACTTAATTTGCTTCAATGCTCTAACCAGTTCTTTTGAATTAATTTGACTTATTGTTTAATAATTTTTTTTCACTCTAGTATATCTGAACAAAATTTGGTGGAGTGCTGCTGTGTACCATCGATCCAGAACCGAACCATAGCTGATTCTACGGTGGATTTTCAGAGGCAGTTAATCACGTGGAGACTGCCCACCCTTCTCTTACAGAGAAGCTGGTGGATTTGAAATACAGGCCTTTGAGACTGCAGCACAGATTCTTGCCAGTAGGTCACCAGTGCTCTATTTTTATCTACAAGATTTTCATTCCAAATCTACTTTCTCAAAACTCTGTAAATTGCTTCATTATTCCTCGCATTTGGTCTGATTTGTGTTTTTCTGAATTTACTTCTTCCGTCAGCTTATTTACAGGTATGATCTTGTCAATTTTAAAATTTGTCATGATATATCGAGGTAAAAGATTTGTCCTAAACTCACCAATCTCTCAATTTACATTTCTTCTGAAGATTGCTTCTCAACTAACTACTATGGTTTCACCTGCAGGAACTTCTATAATTCTCAATCTTCTAAGTCTATTGTTTTCTTCTTTTCTGTACTCTGGAGAGTAAATATATATTTCTACTCATTCTTCCAGAAACACTGATAATCAGGTTAGAGAGGGTCAGCTTTCTTTTTTCCAGAATTCAATGTAAACATTAATTCTGCTACAAGTTTTTATTTCTCTTTTAGCACTTTATTTCAAGCCCCTCTTTTTGTATCCTTGACTTGTGTGATGTTAGTTTAAAAGTTGATTTTAGCCATTACAATTAGTCCCCTCTGGTCTCCAGCTACCTTAAATATAAACATGGTCTTGCAAATTGAAAAGGTCTTAAAAATCATCAACAGGTATGGGACTAGGATAAGAAAAACAGTGTGTTTACACACACGGGGTGGTGAGACTTGAGGCGATCAAGATTTGAGGAAGCCTGGAACAGAAACTGTTGACAAGATTCTGATGATGGTACTGAGAGACTTTCGCATTGCTGTGGTGAACCTGTGGCAAGGTCTAAGCAGAAGAGCCCTGAGATAAAGGCCACAGTTAAAGATTTTACTGTTTTTTTCCAAAGCTTGAAGGAGAAGTTGACTTATAAATGCTCTGAGGCAAATCTTGCTGGATGTTTTAGATTTGACTGAACTGAAACTACAGAGCCTGGACTAAATGAGGAATTCTGCCTGGGAATGCTTGGGCTAAAATTTGGACTTACACTGGGTGATATTCTTTTCTTCCCCGGCTCTCCAACTTCCTTCCCTAATAAACCCCTAATAGTTGGTACCATTAACTGTAGTCTGTGAGTCAGCAATGAACCTATTCCTGCTACTGTGGCTCTAAAAATACCATAGGGCTGGGATATGGGCTCTTTATTTGCTTTCTGCTTTGGGGTAGTGAGGAGATGTGCTATTCTCATTCCTTCCAGCCCTTTCAGATAAACTCTCATAGCCTTGTGCCTCTATGCCCATTTTCCGCTTTTTAGATAATCTGTGTCAAATTTTTCTTATAAACTCATCCTAGAACAGGAAGTGACCAGATGAGATAAAATTTATACTTGTAAATAGTGCAAGTGTGGTTCTTGGGCTCTGTTCCCTGGCCACTGGAGAGGATCAGTTGCCAGCTCATTTAAAAAGAAATAACAGAGAACCCACAAATTATAATCACTGGCAAGCATATTCACACATAGGTCCCTTTATATATAGATTATCCTTGTATTCCAGACCAAACTTTAAAATACAAGAAAATAGTTCTATTATGGTGAACAATAAAGTTAGAGCTGTGTTTATTCTAACTTCTAAGAGTTTACAGCAGCCTCTTCAGAGATCTATAGCTGGAAAACAAATTTATGCATATATCCTCCAAGCTCTTTTGTAAGAACTACAGAGTTCATCAAGTATAGCTCTGTTAGATGGAAATCCATTTCCCCCCCAATTCCAATTTCTTATCACTAGAAAATTTTAATTGCTTGCTAGAAAATAGACTAGAAGGAGTAAAATAGAAGATTCAAAATGTGTAACAAAGCGCGCGCACACACACATATTCTTACGTAAAATTTAAGAATTCAATGTACTACACCAAAGTAGAAATCTGCTCTACTTAAGCCTAAATAAATAAATAGAGAAATCTGTATCTTCATCTTATTTACATACTGATCATATATGCTTTATTTTTTTAATAAATAAGTGTATCAAAATGAAACTTATTTAAACACTTACTGGTGTATAACTATGCACACTTCCAACACTGTTCAAATTAACAGATGCCAAACTCTGGTCTGAGAGACTGTTGTTAAGGCTACTGCGTGGACTATCACTACCATCCTGATCAGTGTTGTACAACGTTACCTATAATGAAAAGGGAAAAACAATTAGTAAGCAGTACCAACTATAATGAATACTTTCCAAGCAACTTTACAAAAATTGAGTTAGCATAGTAAGATTAAAAAGTTAGTGATCTTTCCTATGTCCCTTTACCCTTATTTCATGGCCCAATTACTAACACCATGTCCACCTTCAAATAACTTTCTCACCACCTGTAAACTAAAGAAAATAACTTGTCTAACCATACATAAATTCCATTTCTGAAACTGAGCTGCAATCCCAAAAGCACATGGTCCAAATCCACAAGCTGCTCCGCAGGAGGACTGGTAATTTCCCATAAGATTAACTGCCCTGAAAACATGCTAAAGGGTTAACTATGGGTTGACTCTGACTCAATGGTACAAAACAACAATATAGTATAAAGAGTTCACCAACACTTGAGTTGGGATTAGATAAGACTTGTATTTCCACTAAAAAAAGCGGTCTGAACTCACCAACTATTATGTGGGAGTAAGATGGTCTATCTCCTTCCATGGGATTTACAGCCTCTGAAAACCCACTGGGAAGTCAGCTATGAGTTAGTTCTGATTCAAAGCTATATAAAAACAAATATCCCTGAACTCTGGTGGATTAGTGGTAAGGAGTTGCACTGCCAAATCAAAAACACATGTGATTTGAATCCGCTAGCTACGCCACAGGAGAAAAGATGAACATTCTTTTCCTGGGTGATTTACACCCTCTGAAAACCCACTGGAAGGTCAGGTATGAGTCAGTTCTGGCTTAAGAGTATATCAACAACAACAGTATGACAGCAGTCAAAAATATCTCTATGATATGTAAATTTGGGTTTGGTCAACAAGTAACCAAAAAGGGTATAATATTTTATCAAATTCTTAGACTTCATAAAAAAGAATACAAGCAGAAATAAACTAGGCATTTTAAAAAAAAAAGCATTCTAGTGTTTAGAATATTAAATATGGAAGTCCAGTTCCCTAAAACATTTGCAAAGTCACTCATGTGATCTAAATTTTTAAAGTCACATCAATAATACAGATATATATTAGATGTGAAGAACACAAATAATGATTCATGGCTTTGAGGCTGCAGATTACTGAAGACTTTTGCCACTAACAGTCTATATTTTACAGTGCTTGAATCTGTTTACATCATTATTCTGTAATTAGACAAGGTTAGAGGAAAGGCATTTTTCAAAGAACAAACTAGTCTATCCTTCAAGGCTCTTCAGATGTCACCACAACCAACACTCCTTTCTGTACTCTTCACGAAACCATTCAACATTATGATTTAGTTAATTTTTAAACAAATGTTTATTTCCAACTAGACTGTTAGTTCTTTGAAACTCCAGTAAGTAACCACAAACTACATAGTACTTTCTGCTAAGGATACAGTTAGTAAATAGCTGCTCGATTTAGTAAGCAACTGAGCTGGCACCATTCTTTTCTCCATGTAAGCCAAAACCAAAACTGTCTTACAGTTACATCAGATAGAGCAATGATGTGTCTTAGGTGATACATAAGGGGGGGAAAAAGACTATTAATAATGAGACGGAATTTTAAAATTATAGTAATGACTTCTTTTCCAGTAAATATTTCCAACAAAAAGTTCATAAAGATCATCTTATGAATTCCCAGGAATAACTATAATACAGTATCAACATATTACAAGCATCGATCGTATTTACTTAGCTGTTCATTATCTTCATCATTCTACGTAGTTTCTCTTATTTTGTTTGGACACAAACATTTCTATTACACTACAGCATAGAAAAAGAATACAAAGTAGAAGTTACTCATTACATAATTAATATATGTATAATCATCAGGTATAAGCCATGTAATCATCACTTAGATCAAAGTATGAAACAAATTTAGAGTGGTGTTGGTTTTCAAACTGTGGGCTTAGAAGCTTTCAGTGTCTTGAAAATTGAGGAGACAATGAACTTTTATTTATGATAATACATCTACTAATTATCAGTATTTAAGAAATTAAAATGGAAAGGTTTTACTACTTTAAATGAAACAATTATAAACCCAATTATATACGAACATTAAAAAATTCTCCACAAAACAACTATGAGATGTCATCTCACCCCAGTAATAGCAAAATTTAACAGAACAGCAAGCAACAAATGCTGGCGAGGCGGTGGAGAAATTGGAACCCTTATTCACTGTTGGTGGAAGTGTAAAATGGTGCAAACACTGTGGAAAGTGGTGTGGCGCTTTCTCAAAAAGTTGCAAATAGAGATACCATTTGACCCAGCAATTCCACTACTGGGAATATACCCTAAAGAGATCATAATCGACATCCAAGCGGACATATGCACACCCATGTTTACTGCAGCTTTGTTCACAACAGCAAGGAGTTGGAAACAACCCAAGTGCCCATCAACAAAAGAATGGATAGAGAAGCTGTGATATATTCACACAATGTACTACTATGCTGCACTGAAAAACAAGGAACTCATGCAATATTATTCAAAATGGGTGACCCTGGAGGACATTATGCTGAGTGAAATATCTGAGTCACAAAAGGACAAATACTGCATGGTGCCACTGTTGTAAAACAGGGCTGACCTCAGGGTTAGGGAAAGACTGAGAAAAACTGGATAAATTATGTATACCGCATTCAAACAGATGAGGGACAGAAGAATTTAAAAGCAATATATGACAGGATATTATGGTTATCACAAGAGTCCAGAATTAAGGTTGCATAGTTGAGTGTACTTGGGGCACTGGGAGGGGTGCGGGAGGATTGTATACCAATGAAAGAATTTTTCTTTTACTTTTCAAAGAGAGGAGCAAAGGGGAGGGGGGCGGCAGAGGGCTGGGCAGAGAGAAAAGTGCAACAATGAATGAATGGAAATCCAAAATCTCTGTAAACATTCATTAAAATTAATAAAATTTAAAAAAGAGAGCAATGACCCACAAAAGTATTCTAAGTTAAGCAAATACATAGATTGCATGTCAAAATAAAAAAAATATATTTTCTTTATTTTAAAAAAAGTCGCCAGTAAATAAATAAATAAATAATAAATAAAATGAGAAAAATGTCACGGTTGTATAATTTTGCAATCCTAAGTAGCTTAAAAGAAAACAGCAAGATTTTCTTATTTGTGTCCGTATTTAATCTGTTGCAAAATGGTATTTTGGTGAAAGTATACAAAGAAAAGTTACTATATAAATAAACACTGGGAAAAGTATTTCAATGCAGTTTTTAGATGATTATGGATAGTTTTTATTTCACAACGCACCAAAATACAAGTGGTTATTTCTTGAAGATTAGTTGTAACATGGAACTGATTTTGCCACAACATACATTGGACCTTTAGAAAATTCTGGTTCATTTCATTACATATTTTTTAAAAAACCACACTTATTAAAAATTACAAGTTTCATTAGAAAAGTCTTTCAAGAACAGGGACCAATTACAGTAACTGAAGTGAGTATGTTTGCCAGAGTTCTAATTCCTGCTCAGATTTTTATCCCTCTTAACAATTAAGTGTCAATTGTTGGGCTGTTGGGTTTTTTTCACACTTTTAAAAACAAAGGTGTATGTCTGTATAAAACATCACTCAGAAGGTTTAAAAAGACCCAAAGACCCAGAGAGAACTAGCCTGTAAAACAAGGTCATAGTAAAGTTTGATTCTTGCTGCCTCCACTGTGAATCACTCATTCCAAGTATTTTTCTCTGGGGAATTCTCGGCACTGGTGATTTTTTTCTATCTGGCGGTGGTGCATTCCTTAAGGTCTTGACATAGTTTATACAAGGCTGATATGACAATAAACACAACGAAAATGCCACCATAAAGAACTATGAATTCTTGCCTTTCCAAGGGAGACATAAATAGGCTTGTGACCAGAGATCAAAGGGATCACAGAAAGTTCCTGAAACAGAACAATTAATCTAATAAGCAGCAAACATACATGTAAGTATTAACTGTGCATCTCTCATTCTCTGCTGTAAAGTGCTTGGACGATCAGCATGAATGGCTGGCATAATGAGACTCTTAACCAGATATTAATGGCAGCCTCTTTACAAGAGAAACAGACACTTTTCAAAGATGAGAGTAACTGCTTTTCTTGGACGTGACAAGCTCACTTTGTTCTATGTTCAAGAAAATTATCTGTCAAATACCCAAACATGAATTACTCCTATTAGTTGCTCCTTCAAGTAAAATCATTTGAGCTGTGAACCAAGCAGTTAATTCAAGTTTTTTCCCTTGAAGAAAAAACTTTGCTTTGGTGTTTAGCAGAGATGCTCTATTTCACCGTAGAGAGTATTTTAAATATTTATACTAGAGACTCACAACTTAATGAAACTATGTTTCCTGCTTTTACAGGGATAGTCTTTGTAAAATGAGTTGGGTTTTTTAAAAACAAAGCAAAAAGAGTATTTGGTAGGAAAAAATAGAGTTGATATTAGCTGGGTGCCGCTGCTGGGATTTATGCCAAGGTGCCAGCAGTTAGCATACGACTACTTTTTGCTGCATGTTATGTGCCATCCAAGTCGCTTGCAACTCATAGCGACCCTATGTACAAGAGCCTGCTCTATCCTGTGTCAACCTCACTGTCTCTGCCACATCCACTCCCCTTACCCCAATCACTGAATCGATCCATCTCATCGAGGGTCTTCCTCTTCTGCACTGTCCCTCCACTCTCCCAAACATGATGTCCCTCTCCAAGGACTGGTCCTTCTTTGCAACATGCCATCAGAATGTCAGATGAGGCTTCAGAATCCTTGCCTCTAAGGAGCAGCCTGGTTTCACCCTCTCCCGGACAAATCTGTTTGTTCTTCTAGTAGTCTATGGTTTATTCAACACTTTCCTCCAGCACCACAGCTCAAAGGCATCAATCCTTTCTATCATCCCTCTCCAGCTCTCTGACACATAGCACGCAATTGCAAAGACTATGGCCTGGGCAAGGCACACCTTAGTCTGCAGCCTGACGTTGCTGCTCTTCAGTACTTCAGAGAGGTCCCTGACAGATGACTTTCTCAATGCAATT